TGCCCCTTCCACCCTAAGGTGGCTCTTTGCTCAGGTAGTGAAGCTAATGATCAGAATCTCTGCCTTAAGGGAGGTGTGAGCCTATGTTCGTGACAGTCTTTGTGCTCTGTTAGTGATGAATGTTCATGCTGGGGGTGCCTGCCATTTCTTCCTTTCTCTGGTTACTGTGCCTAACGTTTCCTTTGGGTACACACCCAAATAACCACATTGACTAGGGCAGGCCCTGACCCACTCTCCCCGGGGAGTGCTTATGACTTTCTCAGGCCTGACAGTCAAACTCTTGCCTTAGTGATTGGAGTGGGGCTGAGGAACTTTTGCTGGATTTCCTGCAAAATAGAAGTGCTTTCCCTGCTAAGGGTCCTGAGACCTGAGATGGTGAGATGTGAGCTGCGGCCTGCTGAGGGTGAGTGCCACTTCCAGGAAGAGTCTGCCTGATATTTGAGCCAGTTCCAGGGAAAGAAAAACTGAGGGATAGATAAAGCAGATTTCTAAAGACACTATTTGAGCAGCCTGATACAGCCATGCCTGAAACCCTCATCTTTTGTTTTGTAACTTAATAAATTCTGTCCTCTTTTTTCTTAAGCTGAATTGAGTTGGGTTTCTGTCACTTGCATTGAACTACTCAATGCTAAATATATACAACATATTTCACTCAAAAAACACTCATTAAGCACTCACTCTGTACCAGTGTTTTCACATACGTGATCTCATGTAGCCCTCCGACTAACACTATGAAGTAGGTAGCTAAAATGCTTTCTAGTTTATGGAGGACAGATGGGGGTTAGGGAGGTGGCTTGCCCAGGGATACTCAGCCTGTGAGTGGATGGCCAAGTTCAAGGATAGTTCCTCTACCACAACTCCCCAGCACATCATGGGAAACGCTTTCAATTTTCCAAAGAGTGTAAACATGTCTTCCACCTTGCACCCCCCCAACCTCCACGATAAAGATATTCCACGATAATTGTGAAAAATTTGAAATATATGGAGAAGTATATATTAAAAATCCCACCACTCACTAATAACCCCCACTAACTTTAACATACTTCCAGATTTTTAGTGCAATTTTGTAACATATGAATGTTTATGTAAAAAGAATAAAAGATCACTGCGTATGTACAATTTTATACCTGCATTTATCACTTAAAATGTTTTAAGAATGAGGACTGTTCTCCATGTGCTTTCCCTTGAGTTGGAGGGAAGAGTTCTCTGGGCTCTGGGGCAGACCCAGGACTCACCCTCCACTGGTCAGTTTAGAGCTGCGGGGGGCACCTCTGCTGCTGGGGTGGCTCCTTCCCTGCCTGAGGCCGAAGGGTGGGTGTCCCCTGGTTTGTACTGGACTGTGCCCAGCAGCTGCTGGAACCCTCAGGAGACCACCTGCTGATGCGGGGACGCCTCCCGTGTCTGTTTCCTAGGCAGGCAGGGCAGGCTGTAATGGAATCAGTGCAGATGTGACTCCCTTGGGGATGTGGAGCGGGCTGTGCTGGAAACACTGGTTTTGCTACTGGTGTGACCTACAGGTTATCTCCCGACCTAGGACCTAGAAGGCCGTGAGGCTTTCTCCCTTTGCCCACTTGATCAAACACACGCTGTGCTCTCCATGCCCACACGGTGGCGCTATGGAATAGGAAACGAATTCACTGCTCGGGCTTTGGGAGAAGAAATAAAGGCAGAGCAGAAACGAGCTCTTTATAGAGAGAAGAATGAAGCAAGCTGAAAGTGTACAGCTACTAAGGGTGTGTGTGTCATGCTAGGTGAGGAGAGTGAGGAGACCCCAGGCAGAAGTAGAAACACACTGGGGAGGAAAGATAGCAGTCATGGGGCAATCAATATTTTGTCATTGACACCTAACGGGGAGGTAGTGTGATGTAGAGGGAATTCCCGTGGGTTTTGGGGTCGTGCAGACAGGGTGTGGATCCAGGGTCAGGCACTTCCTAGTGGTGTGATCGTAGCATGCCACTTGGTTTCTGAGCCTCAGTTTCCTCATCTGTGAAATGGGTGGTCCTCAGGGTGTGGAAAGGGTTGGCACTTAGCTAAGAGGCTGTGCTAGTAAGTGGCAGAGGCAGAATTCTAATCCAGGCCTGCCTGTTCCAAAGGCTTCTTTCATCATCACAATAATGATTTTGATGACAATGAATATATATGTGCATACACATGCATACATATGTATTAAATGATTTTTTTTACTAATTGCCTTTGAGATATAATTCACATAAAAGTCTACAGTTCCGTGACAATTTTTTTTCCCAGAGTGCTTCCCCATCCAGACATTAGTTTAGTAATAACACTAACTGACATTTACCGAGCACTTTAAAATGCACAGGATGACTTTACTCATCCTTTTTCATCTAGTTTCTTTTTTTTAATATTTAGATCTAATTTATTTTATTTTACTTTTGATGGTATGTCAGTATGTTTAATAAGAGCACTATTTTTAATTATGATTTATTACTTTTGAAAAAAATTTAGCACTTTTTTATATAGCAAATCAAAATTCTGGTTCTATATTTAATTTTTTTAATAGACATTATTCTTTTAGAGCAGTTTCAAGTTCACAGCAGAACTGAGCAGAAAATACAGAATTTGCACATACCCCTCCCCACCCACACATATATACTCCCCTACCCTCAACACCCCTCATCAGTGTGGCGTATTTGGTACAATCGATGAACCAACATGGGCATGTTATTATCAACTGAAGTCCATAGTTTACATTAGGGTTCACTCTTGATGTTGTACATTCTATGGGTTTTGACAAATGTGTAATGACATGTGGCCACCACTGTAGTGGTGAATAATTTCATTACTCTAAAAATCCCTTGTACTCCATCTATTCATTCCTCCCTCCCTCCCCTTTCTCATCTAGTTTCAATCCTATGATATCCTGTGAGCAAATAAGGCAGTTAAAAAAAAAGTCATCACCCCCACCCATTTTACAGATAAGTAAATAGAGATAGAGAGGTGTGGCTTGTCTAGGAGACTGCTGACTGATGAACAGAAGGAACAGAATGAGTCAAGAGTCCGGGGACCCTAGGTTGGTTAGTGGCTACCTACCCGTTACAGGCAGGGACAGGCTGGAGCGAGCTTCTGCTTCAGGTGGAGGCCTGCAGGTGCCTTGGGTGCTCAGGAAGGGTGTGAGTTGAGCTCTGGCTGGGGGATAAGAGCACCCCTAGCTTGGAAGGCAGCTGGGGTAGGATTTTGGCCTTGGGTGAAGGGAGAGGAACTTGCTGACTGTTGCATCATCTAGGCTGCTTTTGGTTGCAAGGACAGGAAAGCCTGCTAACAATGTTTTAAGCTATAGAAGCATTTAATTATATTACTGATAAAGAATCTGGAGAGGCAGTTCCAGGTTTGGCTCAGAAACCTCACAATGGCCCCATGAAACCAAGGCTTGTTCTTTTTTCCACTCCACCATCTTTAGCATTGGCATTTTGACCTTAGGTTTGTCCTCTAGGTCATAAGATGGCTGCGGATGCTCCAGGCCTCACGTCTTCACACAGAGCAGGAAGGATGGCAAAGTGGGCATTTCTCCACAGTGTTCTGTTTTTAGTTAGCAAGCTCAGAAAGTCTTGGCAGACTTCTTACATCTCATTGACCAGAGCTGGTCACATGCCTGTCCCTGGACTCTCACTGACAAGGAGGAACAGGATGACCGAGATTGGCTTAGATCAGGCATAATTTATCCCCTGGGTCTGGGAGAGAGAGTTTGGCTTTACCCAGCAAGATGTCTGAACAATGTCCATTTTTATGGGCCAACAAAAACGGGGCAGGCAGGTTGGGAAGTGATGTAGAGGAGTGTTTTGGGGGCAGGAAAGTACCAGTGTCCCCCTTGATTGTGGTGGGGCTGGGTCTAGCATGGCCTGGCAGGGATGATGGTGCAGGTGGGAGGGCCTGGCCGGGTGCAGGGACCCCTGCCTTGCAGTGGATTCACCCAGGCTATTTCTTGATGTGGGGCCACCTGGCTCTTTTAATGGGAGGAGCAGGCCTGGCATTTCTGACTCTGTTTGCTCTTCTTTGGGCTTTGCCACTTGCCTTTGTGTTCACTCTACATTGTCACCACCTGTCTTGATTGTCAGGGGCAAAGCTTGGGCAAAGGCTGCCAAGCTAAGAGAGACGGAGTTGGAGGAGAGCACGCAGCAGGGGTGGAGGCGTCCAGCGCCACAGCGCAGGGCTGCCCAGGTGGTTCGCCTCACCACCCTGGGGCTGCCACTTGCGTGGAGCATGGCGTTTAAGGCCCGCCTGGAGTTGTGTGGGAACATTGGGAAGACCTGACAGACCATACATGAGATCTGCGGTGTGTGGACACGGGGCATGCGGGGCATGTCCTCGGCTTGGATTTGGGACAGTCAGGGACGCTTGGTGTAGCCCATAGGTTGGGGAGGTTCTGCAGGGAATGCGCCAGCCATCCCGAGTCCCAAGGCGGCTTGTATCCTCAGGCTCTGCTCTTTTCCCATCTGTCCTCTTCTCCCTCCCTGCTTCTTGTCACCTTCTCCCTCGCCTCTGTCTCCTTGTTTTTCTCTTCCACTCCCTGAGCCACCTTCACACCCAGGGAAAGGCTCTGCTGCCGGAACGCAGGCTGCAGGCCCACTGGTGTGAAGAGCTGGACCATTTTCAGCCTTTGCCTGGCTTTCCTCCATCTGCCCAGTGCCCCAGCGTCCCTGAGCAACCTCCCTCCCACCTTGGGGCTACCGTCCGCCAGCCGCTGTGCTGGAGGGATCCAGATTCATTTTAACATCAGCCGAATCAAAGGCTCATTGAGGGAGTGGGTGTCACTGAGGGCGGAGTGAGGCTCCTTCCCCCTTGGACCCTTTAGACTTCTCTCTCCATCTTCGGTCAGGGACAGTCCTCGTGACATCTCTGTGACCCCTAGATGGGCATCGCATTTCTTGGGCAAATGGTGGGGGCCAGGGAAACTTGGAAGCGGTTCCTTGCAAATCCCTCTCCAGGGCTTGCTAAGGCTCCTATGCTTGTGAGTGCAAACCAGCGATGTCATCTTTCTACAGGAAGAAAGACACATTGTTACCATGCAGCTCCTGGAAACCACCGCCTGGGTCCCTCTCTCGTCTGCAGGCGCCCTTGGAAAATTGAGCGGGTGATCTGTGTCAGACAGCCACAGCGACACTAACCGCCACCACCACCCCTGTCTGAGAGCTCCCTGGGCACCCACTCATTTGATCAGATGCCAACTTTGCAGGTCAGTCTGGTTTTCAAGCTGCTGTCTGTTACGAGCTGGTTTTTTTTTTTTTTTTTTTTGGTTTTCTTGTCTGAATTTTTACCATCCACTTCTGGACTGCCGGTGGATGGAGGGCAGATGTTTGGGCAGCCTTGCAAAGAAGGTGCCCAGGAGACATGAAAGCAGAATGATAATTAAAGGAGCAGTAAAACGGAGTTTTAGGGGCTGTTCCACCTCTCTTGAATCTGCGAATTGTGAAATGTTTTGCTGAAGACCTCTTTTAATCCTCTAAGCTGCAACCACAGTGTCAATCATAGCAGTTACCATCACTGAGTGATTTTTCTGTGTCAGTCATGGAGCTCATTTAATTTAACACAGACACTATTATCACCATTTTACAGATGGTAAAACTGAGGCACAGGAAGGAGAAATGACTTGCCCAAAGTTAACACAGCTGATAAGACTTAGAGCTGGTATTTGAACGCGGCCAGGGTGGCGCCAAGATGCAGGTGCTGAGCTCGGCCGCATTGCCCCTGCCCAGCAAGTGTCGCTGCTGTTCCCATCAGGAGTTCTGACTCAGAGAAGGCCAGCCAAGTGCTGAGGTCAGCTGCCAGGGGTGGACCTGGGGGGGAAGAGCTAGAGGTCTTTTATGGGTTACCCCTGGGCTCCCAGACTGGGTGTTCTGGCTCCAGGGGCCCTCTGGCTGGTGGGTGGAGCGGGGAGAAGCCCCTGAAACTTCCCCAGGTTCATGGCCCTCACGGCCCTTGTCTCGTCCTGCTCGTCCGGACACAGCGCTGGGTGGAGGTGACCAGGGGATATTCCAACTGCCCAGACCAGGAAATGAGACTTGTCCAAGGTCCCTCAGTCCAGGAATGACAGAGACCCAGAGCCATCTGCTGAGCCCTGCTGTCCGGCAAGTCCTCTGGTGGGGCCCTCCTGCCCTGCTCAGCTGCTCTCACTGCACAAGGGAAGGTCCCGAGGGAAGTTCTCAGTAGAAAGAATCTCTCGAAAAGGCAAAGGCCAAAAGAAGGAAGAACGGGTGAGGTTTGGGGTGGCCTCCCCTAGTTGATGGCCTGCTCTTTCTTCCTTCTGACAGCTCCTAACTGGGTTCCCGCCCGCATCTGGGCCATGATCACTGGTGTCACAATGTAGTCCTTTCCAGGAACAGTGGGTGGGGTTGTCTCAATGTTTTTCTGAATTCAAAGAATTTCTCCAATCCCTTAGAACTCTGAGATGGCCTTGGCTTGGTCCTGGAGCAGCCAGGCTGTATCTCCCCAGCCTTTGGTGAGTGGTCGGATTCCGTGGATCCCTCCTCTGCCCTTCATCTCTGCTTTCCTTGTTTCTACCCTCTCGACCCGGAAGTCCCAAACCCACTCCTAGCTTGATACTTCCAAACCGGAAGGGCATTCTTGGAGGTTCTGCCTTTGACCTTCCCAGGAGCCCTTTTCCTGGCCCTGCAGTTCTGATAGCTCATGATACCTCGGGAACAACCTCTTTCTCCAGCCTAGCTGTTTGGAATTTCCCCCCTCTCCCCATCTCCCAGCTCTCAGCTGCAAGACAGAGCACATGGAAGGGAATGGAAGGAGGGTCATAATGAGGCTTGGCTGCCCAGGGTCTCCTCTATCTTTAGCCCAGTGCTTCCCAGGATGCTGAGTAGTGCCGAAGGGCGAGCCTCTGGCATCTTAAGGTAGAAACAGGAAGAAGGGAATTAAAATGAGAAACAAATAGAAAAAAGAATAGTAGCTACTATCTGTTGATTCCCACCAGGTACCTTATGTAAATTATCTCACTTAATCTCCATAGCAGCCATCTGCAGTAGGTATTGTTGCCCATTTACAGATGAGAAAACAGAGGTTCATAGTGGGACACTGACTTGCCTAAGGCCCCACAGCCAGGGAATGGCAAAACTGGTAACCTAGGTGCCGTCTTCATCCCAGTGAGTCCATTTGTTAATCTTCAGGCCAGGCCTTTCTCCCAGAGTTCCAGACCTTCGTATGAGACTCCATACATGGCTGTGGTCTGACCAACCAGTGTATTCCTTCTCCCTGGCCACAGTGACTGTGACACAAACCGGGTCAATGAGAACCCTTGGGAAGGAGAAACTTTTTTTCCTTTGTGACTGCCAGCAGGAAGGAGGCTGCAAGCCTGCAGCTTCCAGGGGCTGCCACATGGCATCCTAGAATGAAGTTGGCATGGAGGGAAATGGGGCTGGGAGTTGATGACTGAGTCCTTATGGCGCTATCTGAGTCTGGATCCAACTATGCCTGAAGCTGGAACCCCTGACCTTTTTAGTCCAGGGAGCCAGCAAATTCCCCTTGTTGGCTTAAGCCAGTTTAAATTGGGCAGCTGCCGCTGGCAACCAAAATCGTCTAATACCATTGCCAGGACTTGTCCTAATTCCCGTTTAAGTGATTTTGTTAGATTTGTCCTTTTGAAGCACCTTCTGCACAAAGGCCTTATAGTCAGCCTTGCCCCCAAGTGGCTCTGTCCTTTATCTTTAGCTGTATGCTCCCTAGCCTAGTGCACAGAAGTGTTTTATCCAGACTTCTTTCTTTAAATTTTCTACTGTTTTTTTTAAATAAATAATTTTAAGGTTTAAACTGCCAGGAGCCACCTTTTCTCTTGCCTGTCCTGACCTAGTCATATATTTAGCTCTCTTCAACCCCCTCCAACCTCACAGCCCCTCCATCTCTGTGGTTCTTGTTGACTGTATAAAAAATACATGTAATGCTCTGAGGGATGGGTTGTGAGTCCTCAGGGGACACGTTCACTTTGGTGCTCCCAGGCCAGGGTTTTGGGACACTTCGGTCTGTCCTGCTCCTGGTCGTCTCCAGCCCTCCAGTCACCTCTGAGAGATGCTTGGAGAGCCAGAAGCCTTTGGCTGGTGGCTCAGCCTCCCAGAGTTCTGCCCAGTTTAGACAGAAAAATGAAGATGCAAGCTCAGCTCGACTACAGTTCTCTCTCCTAAGGTGAGTTTGGCAGTCCAGAAGTTTCCCTACGAAAAGCGTTGGCTTGATTTTGGACCAGCTGTTGGACCCAGCAGAACCTGGGCAGAGAAACTCCTACTTTATCATACACTGGCTCGCTTCCCTGAAATGATCCTCTTTCCCTTCATTTTATCAATGGGAAAACCGAGGCAAAACCCCCAAACTGACCTGCTGGCAGTCACAACTGAGGGTCTGACCTTGGGGCTCGGAGCCCCATGCTGAGGGTTTCTGCACGACGTCATTCCTCCTGCCGCTTTATTTGGTCTCTTCCCTCCAGAGCGAGGGGGAAGCACAGCTGTTGGAGCGCTGGGGGAGGGTGGAATGCTTATTAGGACCCCCGCTCCCCAGGCAAATGGTTCAGCGGGTGAACTCCTGACCCTTGGGCTGCTGCAGAAAGTGTGACGTAGTGACTCCGGCTGGATTCTGAGGTCTGTGGGTAGAGGCAGACATGCCTGATTGAATTATTCC